GTTTGCGGCGGAGGGCGCCGGCAACGCCATTTTTGTCTCCGGCTGTTTTACTAACTCAATTCTGCGCCACTTTACTTTTCTTTTTCCTTTTGTTTTAGCTGCAGCGACTCGGGGCTATGGGCACATCTCCGCCTCGACCAAGTGAGATTTCAGATGATGGAGGGACGATCCCCTCCCAATTGTGCGGACCCACAGGGAGCAAGGCCATTAAAATAAGGTTTGGGCTAAACGGAAACCAGCTGCTGTCAGCACAGGCAGTTGCATGAACCTTGTTAAGCTGGTGGGGTCAAAGGGGAGGGGGAGGGGTGTAGGAACTGGTGCTTTTGGTAATGTGCCGATCGATGTACGGGTACCTGTACCCACGGGGCGGGGCGGGACATGATTTTGGCCCTGGTACACATGTGGGCGGTAGGTACCATCTGCGAGGGGGAAAAAAAAATGATAAAAACCCACCTAGTAACAGGGGGGTTAAAACTGGGGATCACAAGGGTAACGAAAAGGGGGTCACGTAATGGCATAAAGTCATTGCCATTATTGAAGTTGGTGAAAGAAAGAAAGAAATCGAAAAAAGCTTTCAAAGGACGAAAAATTCTCGAAGTCTCGTAACATACCAAAACCCCTGCGATTTCCAGTTTCAAACCCCCTGTTATCCCTTTGTTACTGGGTGGGTTATTGTCCTTTGTTTCCCTCGCAGATGGTATGTGGGCAGCGGTGGTGGACGCTGGCAACGCTGAAGCAAAAGCCTGCTGGAGGAAAGCAGCTACCTCTAAACAGGTACCTCCAGGCGACTTGCTGCTTTAGGAATGTGCTCCTTGCATCTGTCCATCAAGGCCCTACCGCATCGCAACGCCGACACGAAACAGATGCGATTCTGCCCGTATCAAGACTGCCGTCTTCTCGCTCGCTGCACAATCCAGGGACGGGGGCTTCACGAAGTCCGTCATTTCCGAGAGCGTGGGCCGTGACGATGAACCCATCCACCGCCTCACACCCGGCACACAACACCAGACGAAATCGCCCACCCAAACCTGCGAGAACTGACAAGATTCTAGAATGCTTCCTTGTCCGATCTTTTGCTGGCGGGAGCGAGCGCATGGCCAACTCGGCGTGGCGATACTGGCTCCAGATTCGTGACTTGTGGGGGCGGCGAGCGGGAACCAAACCTAGGTACCTACAACGGAGGGGCCGTTGGAAAACCAACGAACCTTAAAGCCCCCATTCTTGGGTCCTGCTACTCCCCCGTTTTCCTGTTTCCAGAAGGTGGGAGGGGGCCGGCGCTGTGGGGATTTGCTTGATGATACGCCCCCCCTCCAAGCTGGCGACGACTGGGCGGAGGTGACGTTCCATCCGGTAGAGAGACCTCTCCTGTTTGTGTGTGTGTGCACGCAGCCATTACCGTCATCGCCAGCAGCCACGAGAG